TTTTTTCTTTCTCTCTTTCTCTCTCTCTCTCTCTCTCTTTCTCTCTTTCTTTCTTTTTTTTTTGAGATGAAGTCTCGCTCTGTCACCCAGGTTGGAAGAAGGCAGGGGTGCAATCTCAGCTCACTGCAACCTCCGCCTCCCGGGTTCAAGCAATTCTCCTGCCTCAACCTTCCGAGTAGCTGAGACTACAAGTGTGCAGCACCATGATAGGCTAATTTTTGTATTTTTAGTAGAGATGGGGTTTCATCATGTTGGCCACGCTGGTCTCAAACTCCTGACCTCAGGTAATCTGCCCACCTCAGTCTCCCAAAGGCCAGGTCTTCTTCCTTCTGTCTAGGTAGTATGACCCAGTACTGACTTGAACTGGAACAAAGGTTACTGAAGAACTCAGCACTAGCCCTGCTTTGAAGCTGGTGTGCCTGACCAGACCAGGCTGGAGGGCAATGGGCAATGTGGTGGGGACGGAGAGAGTCAGGGCAGCAGTGGAAGGCTGGAACCAGGGTTAGACTGAATAAAACAAACCTCTCTTCTTCATCTCCTCACTTCAATGGCAGCAAAGAGAAAATTCCCTGTCATTCTCTTCATCCCAGGGGGCCTCACCACAGGGCTTTTGCATAGACTTTTCCCCCCATCTGGAATGCTGTTCCTTCTGCGCAGGCAGTGTGACCCAGTACTGGCTTGAAGTTGAACCAAGTTTACTGAAGAAGTCAACACTAGCCCTGCTTTGAAGCTGGTGTGCCTGACCATCTAGAGCGCTCTTCCTTCTTGTCTTCAGCTGGTTAATTTATATTCATCTCTCAGATCTCAGTACAACTTCATTTCCTCCAGGATGTCCTCCTGCCCCCTAGGTCAAATCCCTATTATATGCCCTCACCACCAGGTACAATTCTTCCTAGTGCTTATGACAGCTTCAGTCTCACACTTATTTTTGTTATTATTTGGTCAATATTCGTCTCCTTCAACGCACTATAAACTCCTTGAGGGCAGGGGCCTCCCACATCGAGAACACTGCCTGGCCAATAGAAAGTGCTCACTGACCATTTGTTGAATGAAGGAAGGCGAGAAGCTGAAGTTACTGGACTAGATCCTAACTTATTTCATCTTGGCCACTTTGGAGCCACTGAATCAAAAATGTTTGTTGCGGCCAGGTGCAGTAGCTCACACCTGTAATCCTGGCACTTTGGGAGACTGAGGCGGGTGGATCACTTGAGGCGGGGGAGTTTGAAACCAGCCTGGCCAACATGGTAAAACCCGTCTCTACTAAAAATACAAAAATGAACTGGGTGTGGTGGTGCATACCTGTAGTCCCAGCTACTCGGAGGCTGAGGCCGGAAAATTACTTGAACCTGGCAGGCAGGGGTTGCAGTGAGCCAAGATTATACCACTGCACTCCAGCTTGAGTGACAGAGCAAGACTCTATCTCAAAAAAAAAGTTTGTTGCATCCCCACAAAGTAACTAAGGAAGCAGAGAGAGGAGAGAGAGAGAGAGAGAGAAAGAGAGAGAGAGAGGTTCCGCACCTTCTCCTCCACGTCTCCAAGAGCTCCCACATGTATTCCAGGCCACTAAGCCTCTCATTTGGTGAAAAGGGAGTTGAGACAGGGGTAAGGTGCTCACCCCAGAGGACACATGAGAGGCAGTTGGTGGGGCTTCCAGGTTCAACAGTGAATTCTGCTTCAAACACAGTGTATGGCCTCTGTGTTTGAAGAGGGTGGCAGGTAGGGGGAACATAAATGGCCTAGAACTTCGCAATGTCACCGCCTCCTAGAAGCCTTCCCTGATCTTCCTCCCCATTACACTCACATTGTTCTCTGCCTCTCAGAACTTACTACGATTTATAGCTAGATTCTTTTTTTTTTTTTTTTTCATGATCTCAGCTCACTGCAACCTCTGCCTCCCCAGTTCAAGCAGTTCTCTTGCCTCAGCCTTCTAAGTCGCTGGGATTACAGGTGCCTGTCACCACACCTGGCTAATTTTTAGTAGAGATGGCTTTCCACCATGTTGGCCACCAGGCTGGTCTCGAACCCCTAACCTCAAATATCTGCCCACCTCAGCCTCCCAAAGTGCTGATATTATAGGTGTGAGCCACAGCACCCAGTATTTGTGTGTGTGTGTGTGTGTGTGTGTGTGTGTGTGTTACTTGTTGCAAATTTTCTGTCTCCTCTGCTGGCCTAGAAGCCTATGAGTTCTGGGATCACATCTACTTGCTCACTCTTGTTTTTTTGTTGTTGTTGTCATTGTTGTTGTTGTTTTTGAGATGGAGTCTCACTCTGTTGCCCAGGCTAGAGTGCAGTGGCACAATCTTGGCTCACTGCAACCTCCGCCTCCCGGGCTCAAGTGATTCTCCTGCCTCAGTCTCCTCAGTAGCCGGGATTACAGGCAGACACCACCACGCCCAGCTAATTTTTGTATTTTTAGTAGAAACAGCGTTTCACCATGTTGGCCAGGCTGGTCTTGAACTCCTGACCTTGTGATCCACCTGCCCTGGCCTCCCAAACTGCTGGGATTACAGGCATGAACCACCGTGTCTGGCCTACTTGTTCACTCTTATGGCCCAATGTTTAGCACAGGGCCCTGCTCATAGTAGATGCTCGATAAATATCTGTTGAATAAATGAATACATTAATGACTTAATGGAATAACTTATGAGAAGGTTGGCAAGGCCAGCAGGGAGAAGGGCAACAGCTGGGGTCAAAGGAGGGGCAAGGGCAGCCCAAGCCTTTTGATCTGCTGCTTTTCAGGGGCCTTCTAGGAAGCACCTTGCATTCCTAAAACCAGTGACAGGACTGTGCATGCCCAGGAGCTGGAATCTCTGCCATACACCAAGGGATCCTGGATCCTCATGGCAGCAAGGCTTTGGCTGGTTGCGGGATGGGGAGAGAAGATTCTTGGAAACTCCACATCTATAGCAACTTGGCAAATGTGGACAGCAGTACTCAGCCATCAAGGAGGTAGGGTAAGGTGGCCTAAGCTCCTGCTTCTCTCCCTGGGCTCCGGGACTCCTCCAGACTTCTAACTGGGAGGCCTGGCCCAGAGCCTATCCCACTCTGTTCAGACCAACTGAAGGTCTTTCTGCTGAAGTTTCCCTCCCCTTCAGCCCGCATGGGGTTCCTGTCTCAGCAGGAATTCATACCAGATTGAAATGAGCAGCTGGGGCTGCCTGGATGGGAGGGTGTGTGGTAGAGAGCTGCGATCAAAGGCTCTGTGTGTGAGGAGCAAGGGAGGGAGAGAGTGTGTGGGGGTGGGTGTGTGCTAGCTTGCCCACAAGTACAAAAAAAAACCGAGAGACAGAGGCTCAGAGAAAAAGATATGACAAAAGAAAGAAAAAGATAAAGAGTAACAGAGAAAGAGGCGGAAAAAGACAACAGGCACAGAGACAGAGACAAAGAAAGAGAGGCAGCAAGGCTGAGAACAGAGAGCAAAGCAGAAATAGTGAGACAGAGAAACACAGAGGCTGAGGACAGAACACAAGAGCACTACTAGGAAATGGCGAAAGGAGAAACAGAAAAGAGGTCCCGGACAAGGACAGGGAGGCAGAGATAGAGAAGGAGAAAGAGACTGAGTCTGAGTCTCGTGTAGCCACTCACTCCACATGTACTGAGCACTTATGCCATGGCGGGCACAGTGGGCAGCACAGATCAATGCGAGTAGACAAATGACAGGGATGGAGGGCACAGCAATCAGGACGGAGGCTGAGACCGAGATAGAGAAGAGCGGGAGAGGCAGAGACTGCAAAGCGAGGTAGAGACTGAACGAAGGACCCAGAGGTAAGAGAAAGTGGCAAAGACAGAAACTCAAGAAAAAGGGGCAGAGACATGGAGACCTTGCAGACAGAGCGGGCAGGACAAGTAGGGGCAGAGGACAGTGGGAGGAGGGCCAGATGAGGGAAGCCTGCTCCGAGCCCTGCCCAGTCCTTCCTCAGTCCCATCTCCAGCTGTGCTGCCTCCACTCTACCCAGGCTCTGGTGGGCCTCGGCTCTGGAGGCATGGGAGGAGGCGCTGACTGCGGATGGCCTCCTTAGGTCAAATGGTTTTCTGCCTGAACCGGGGTTCAGAATAGAACCCAGCTCAACTCAGAGGAGGGGGTTAGGCAGTACATGGGTATAGAAAGCCTTGCTTTCACCCAGAGACCAGCTTAAGACCATCCTTTGTTTCCACAGAGCCCCCAGGGAATAGGAAAAGGTCCAGGTGGTAGGGAGGAGGGAAGGGGCAAGTCTGTGAGTTGCGTTCCAGAACAGTCAGTGCAGGCGCCTCTTCCTTCTGGGGTCTGTGTGTCAGCCCCCCACACACCAAGAACTCCCTGGGATCTCAAACTGAGAGATAAGCCATTTGTGGCAAATGCTGAGCCCTCCCCCCATCTCCTCCCACGTCATCCCTGAGAAAATGCCGCAGAGAAGAGGGTGGGCTAGAGAATCAGTCACCTACCCGCTGGTGCCGGGTCTCTGGGCCTGAGAGAAACGCCAGTCCGTGTTGGGCGGGGCTTGCTGTGGAGAAAACATAGGGAAAGGGGCTGAGTATCTGTGAGAAGTCAGAATGTCACCCGAGCCCCTGGGGATGGGCCGGGAAAGAAGGAGGGGAGGGGGCACAGAGAAGAAAACGGGCTAAGAAGGGGCAGGGGTGGACTCATCTCCAAAAACGAAATATATCTCAGGTCTCCGAGGTCTGAGGTACCAGAAACAAAGAGATAAATCACATTTCATCTGACTACAGTGAGCAAGCTTAGGCTCCTTTCCTACACAAATGGCTCCTTCCTCCCTGCCCCCAGATTCAGGACTCCTGAGCCAAAATTCAAGGACTGAAGGCATCTTCTGTGGAACTGGGGGAAAAGATGCAGAGAAAGCCCCCTAAAGTGGCAGAGGACGCTTTTCAATGAGAATTCCACCAGCCCTAGAATGAATTTATTCAACTCCTCAGCTGGGAACAAAGCATCCTCTGCAGCAAGATGGCTGCTGCTCCGGGTAACCCTTTTGGTGCCAGGTTGTGCAGTGTCACATTCAAAGGGACACCTCCTTCAGCCCCTTGGCTCGCAAGGATCTCTTCCCACAGCTAAATACATTATTAATTTAGGAGTCATGCCAGATTGGGCCTTTGCAGGGCATCCAAGTCCTGGGACACTTCTCACTCCTAGAACTCTGTGCCAGACAATGGTCTGTGACTAAGGAGAAGAGAACAAGGCTGCTCTGTCTGAGACAGAGAAAAATGGAAGGGATGCAGAGGGAAGGGATCCAGCTCCCACAGCCTCCAAGCAGGGCCAACTAAGTCTCCAGGGATCCCAAGGGGCTGATTTGTAGTCATCTCCCACCTAGCTGAAGGTGCGGGGCTCTGGCCAGCCACTTTATTCCCAAGTCCCTCTGATCTTTCCAGGGGATGTGTTATCCCATCACATTCTCATGGAGCACTCCTACAGCCAACTCCTCACTGGTTCTGCTGTGGGCTGGTAATTAATACTCACACTTGCTCCCAGAAGCAGAGAGTTTGAGTATCTTAGATTACTCCAGGGAGAAGGAAGCTCCAGAACTGCCAGTGACTCACTCTAAGGCTCACAGGTGGCAGTGATGTGAGCAGAACCCAGAAACCTAGCATTCCAGGTGTATCAGGAGTCAGCAGCACCATTCTGGGGCTGCCTTGGAGAAAAGCACAGGGATGGCCAGCCCTCAGCCACTGTATTCTTAGACACAGCAGAATCTACACAGTGATGCAGCGATTGTGACAGCAGGAAAGGGAGCTGGGGGAAACTCAACCTACATAAGGACAACTGGGCTAAGTTTGCGCTGCGAGCACTGCTCAGAAAAGAGAAGCCACAGAAGACTTTCCCCACAGGTGATGTCCTCAAATAGAAGGAACTCCACCCTTGCCCCATCCCAGCAAAGACAAAATCCCAGCAGAGGCAAACCCCCTCCTCTCCTGTCCTCGAGCTTTTAAAGTTCCAAGTGCCAAGAAATTCAAAGCACAAATTCTGGAGTTAGACAGGGGTTAGATTTAGATTCCCTCTTACTTGCTCTGTGAACTTGAGCAAGTCACTTGACCTCTGTGAAGCTGTTATAAAAGACAGATGTTAGTACCTAGCCAACAGCAATGCTAGGAAAAGCAAATGAGATGAGGTTCTTAAAGGAGTTGTATAGTAAGTTTCTCTCAATCAGCTATCAAAATCACCTGGGGGTGTTTCAGAATACAATCCTGATTCTATAGGGGCAGAGTTAGGCATAGATAATATTTTGAATAAAAGCTCCTGGAGTTGGGGAAACTTGTGATTTGTACTATTGTAGTTTTCTCACACATAAGGGCACCCTGGCATCAGGCAGATCCTGTAGCTTTCCATTTGCCAGAGGAGAAAGGACTTGTTAGAGTCTCAGATACTTTGGTCCCCTCCAAATCTCTGACCCTAGATCGCTGGGCACATTGTGATCACGACGGCGCCAAAAGCCTGTATCTCTGGGCTTTGAGACCCAGGGCGCTCCAGGTTTCCACTTCCTAGAGGAAGGGGCAGCTGGTGCCACTGGAGTCCCAGGCCTGCTGTCCTATAGAGGCTCACTCACTCGCCCCAGACCGAGCCCTGCCGCACCTCCGGCTACCGGGCAGCTCTGCCTGTCCGCCTGCCCGAGGCTTCTGGGTTGAGGGGTTGCCACCCTCGAGAGGAGCCCCGGGCCCATCTGGACCTTGGGTCGTAGAGTCCTGCCCGCCCGGCGCTTAGAGCGCTGAGTTGCTCCAGCGGTCTCCGCGCCGCGCCGCGCCGCGCCGCGCCTCGCTCAGGCCACCCCCAGGCGACCCAGCCCAGCCCAGGGCGCAGGTGGGAGAAGTGAGCTCTGGAGTCCTCACCTGGACCTGGGCAGCCGCCGATCTGGGACCTTCACTAAGGCGGGCACAATCTGCTATGAGTACCCCTGAGCCCAGCGGAGGGAGCGGCGGAGGGGAGCTGCAAGTGGCCAGGGACAGGCCTGTGAACCAGGCCGCGAGCAGGTGCGAGCGAAAGCTGGTATTCGCGTAAGCCTAAGCGCGACGGGTGTGTGCGTGCGTCCGCGCACGTTTGGCGAGGCGTGGCAAGCCTGTGCACCGTGTGTGGGCCGTGGGAGTGGCCTGCAGGGAGGACGCGCAGGAGCCCCGCGCGCACACCTAAGTCCTGCAGACAGATGCGGTTGGGTGATGCAGAGATAGGGAGGGTAACGGCGAAATCACAGATGCTGGGAGCTGGGGAGAAACCGAAGAGGAAACCTAAAGACCCTCAAGCAAGCCGGAGCCGGCGCCTAGGAGGCTGGCTGCAGGGGTGGATCTGTGACTGCCTCCTCCCGGGACCCCCAACACCCGCGGAAATCGCCTGAAATTCATCGGAAGTTCGACCTGGTCCCCAGCCTTTTCTGAGTGTGAGAGTGGGGGTCAGTCCCACCTTCCCTCACCCATGGTAGCCACCACCCCCCGGTGCTCGGAGTCCCATCCCTAATTCGGCACTCCTCTGGTTCCGCGCACAGTCCAATGGTCCCGAGAATCGGGTGGAGCGCAGCCAACGCCCGAAAGGGCCAGGAGGAGTGGATGCAAGTTCAGTCCTTTAAGAGGACGGGCGGCTTCTCCAGTGCCGCCCCCAGGGGTCGCCCGGGGCGGCGCCGAGCCCCTCACCTGGCTCCGCTCCCGCAGCGTATTAGAGCGGGACCGGATGGCGTCAGGCTCCAGGGCCAGAGCTGTGGGCTGCTGAACGCTGAGGGGTCTTAGAAAAGTGAAGTCACTGCCGTCCGAGGCCGGTGAAAAGCACGTCCTGTAGCAGTGGCTCTGCGAGTCTGTCGGCCGCAGCGTCACCTCCACGTACTTGAGCGTACCGTCCGAGCTCACCTGCAGGTTGGGGCTGGACTGCTTATAGAAGTCCCGGGACGGTGAATCCTGGCGCCTGCAGCACTGCCCTCCACCCCCGTCCTCGTCTGCGTGCCCCTGAAGGCACTTAGCTGACAGAAAGGTGAAGGTAACTAGGGATAAGAGACTGACGGTGGCTAGAGCCACAATGAGGTAAAGGGTAAGGTCTGAACGCTCAGGAGGGTGTATGAGGAAGTCACTGGATTTGGGCATTTCCTCAGGGTCCTCATCCTCCAGAACCAGCAGCACTGTGGCTGTGGAGGACAGTGAAGGATCACCATTGTCCCTCACCAGGACCACCACCTGCTGGGTGTCAGAATCATCCTCCAGTAAGGCCCGGGTTGTGCGCACCTCACCAGTATGTGTAGACACAAGGAACAGTCCTGGGGCTGTGGACTGTGGCAACAGTGAGTAGGTGAGCCATGCATTGTGGCCTGCATCAGCATCCACAGCTGTCACCTTGGTAACCAAGGAGCCAGCAGGAGCAGAGCGAGGGAGACGCTGGGGGGCTGAGTGTTCCCAGCCTGGCCGTGGGTGCAGCACAGCTGGGGCATTATCATTCTGGTCCAGGACAAACACGTGCAGAGATGTGTTGGCATGCAATGGTGGAGAGCCGGAGTCTCGAACCCCCACCACAATCTGCAGCATCTGCAGCAATTCATAGTCAAAGGTACGCTGGGCAAAGACCCGTCCATCCTCTGGGTTGACATACACAAAGGAGGAGGCTGGGGCTCCCTGAATCTGACTTCCTACAATGGAGTAGGTGAGCCGGGCATTATCCCCAGTGTCTGGATCTGAGGCAGCCACGGTGCAGAGAAGGGAGCCTGGAGGCCGGTTTTCTGGGATGTAAGCAGTGTAAAGTTGCTGGTTGAAGCGGGGTGCATTGTCATTAACATCTGAAATGTTGAGCCTAATGGTGAGATGTTTGTGCAGGGGAGGTGAGCCAGCATCGCTGGCCAGCAGCTCGATGATATAGTGGGATGTGACCTCCCGGTCCAAGGGCTGGCTGGTTAGCATCGAGTAGTGGTTCTCAGAAGGTTTAATCTGAAATGGCAGGTCTGGAGAGATATCAAGGCTCACTTCACCATTTCTACCTGAGTCTCGGTCTCGCACATTGAACAACCCCACTACTGTGCCCACTGGTGTGCTCTCTAGGACAGGGTTGGCCAAAGAGGTCAGTAGCACCTCTGGGGCATTGTCATTGACATCCCCCACATCCACCTGAATCACACAGTGGCCCTCCATGGCAGGCTGTCCCTGGTCACGGGCTCTTGCATGAATTTCATAGAAACTCGACTCCTCAAAATCTATGGGACCCAACACATGGATTGCCCCACTGCTGGGGTCTAGACCAAAGAGGTTCCGCACTGCCTCAGATGTGTGGTCTCCAAAAGAATAGTCTAGTTGGCCGTTGGTGCCCTCGTCTGGATCAGTGGCATTGAGGCGGAGCAGCAGAGTACCAATGGGTGCATTCTCTGGGATTCCCACACGTAGAACTGAGGATTGGAAGACTGGAGCATTATCATTGATGTCCAGCACGATGACAGAGATAAGGGTGGTTCCTGAGCGAGCTGGGGTTCCCCCATCCACAGCAGTAAGCACCAGCTGATGTCTTGCCTGGGCTTCACGATCCAGCTGCTGCTCTAGC